TCAAACCAGCCCCCCAATTTAAATAAAACCAAAACAAAATAAATGATTTCATATATACTAGGAACTGGGACTTCATCAAAATCATTAAGTTAAATATATTTGCTTTTAAAACTAAAATCAGCTGATGGCTGTTAAAAAGTAGGATTGGGCTAATTTAGCGCTTTAAAACTAATTAGGATTTCAAGGTAGGTTTACTAAGGGATGTGACATCTAGAACTACAAAGAAGTTAAGTGATCAGGGATTTAAATTCACTTTCAAAAGGTATGACTAAATTAAACTCAGATTTTTGTAAGTAATATATTGAATGCATAATAATATTTCATAGTATTAGTCATGCAAATTTGTTATTCCCATAGATAATTTTAATTTCTAGTGTCCTCACAATAGGATATTATAAAAAGATATAGGATGTCAGAAAAACTACAATATGTCATTGAAAACTCGGAATCAAGAAGCAAGATCCAAGGTTTAGGTCCTGAAACTGAAGAACAGGTGCTCTTAAGAGAACTCAACAATTTCAGGTTGATTGCCTTCAGAATGTATGGGTTTAAAAGTAATTATGTTTTCATTTTTTGATTATTTCAAAATAATTTAGTTCAATTGCTTTTCCCATTTGCTTTTAATTCCTATAATATACAAACTCAAATGAGTTCCATTTGCTAAATATGAAAAAAATTCCACATCATTTATCTTTATTAGGTTGGTGCACCTGACAGCAAATTCATGTGGTTTTGCATTATTGAAATTTTTTTTCCTTTTCGAAAGATAATTTTCAAACCACTACTGGCTTATGAGAACATTGTTGCTTTTTGTTCATCTATATTTTTCCTGGCATTTTAATACTATAGTGGAATTTGCATATAATTTTAATTAGATCCTTTACGGTGTCGTGAATGTCAATAGCTACATTAAAATGCTTTTTTTTTTTAACAGGACTATATCTTCCACATGTCCTACAGGAAAACTACACATTGCTCCTATACTCAAAAGTATTGTGATTTCCTATAAAACTGGAATCTGACTATTAAATGAATCAGAAAATAGACTGTTTACAACCGTTTCTTAAATGCTAGCTGGAGTGTATGATTGGTTACACTTTTTTTTTTCCTTAGAGATAATTTCTGTACCATAAATTCCTAGAAGTGGTTGCATCAATGACAATGCATTTTTAAAGCCTCTTGATATTGCCAAATTGTCCTTCTAAAAGGTTATTACAGTTAAAATTCCTCACCAGTGGTTTGGGAGCTTGTCAGGCTGTGAGTGGTTGTTAGTTTCTTGACTTGAGTGGGGGATGTGTGTGGGTGGCCTCGCCTCTCTCAAAAGACCCTCTAGCCTCTGCTGGCCAGCCTTCATCCCAAAAATGGTCATGAGGAGCTGGGAAGAGTGATAGCCTCACGCCTTGATGTCAGTAGCCTGGGTTGGGTCCACCAAGTTGACCCTCAAGTATCCTTGAGGGTGCTCATACATGGTCACCTCCTCCTTAACCTTAGAAGATTTCAGCATAAGAGCAATATGTATTCACACTAACATCGAAGTGCATAGCTTGTACTGCTCAAAGGAATCGATACTAGCATCATAGAGGAAGCAAGACAGTGGAAGAGTCCTGGTTTTGGCCGAGAAGACTTGAGTTGGATTAGAACTCAGTGACCTACTGGACACATAATCTTGGGTAGGTCACTGAACAAGTAAGGAGGTCAGTTTCTCACGTGAAAAATTAGAATTCTAGAGGGTACTAACCTTTAAAGGACCTTGCAGCACTAATATCCTGGTTTATGCTTTTTGACTATCAAAAATTATTCTAAGAGGGATAAAAGTGGAAGGCTGAGAACAGCACATATCTAGTTTGGACAAAAGTAGAGAACATTCCTTCAGTTGAAGGGACAATCTAAATTTACTTAATTGTAAAAGGGAAGACAATCAAATGGCAAAATAAAAATTGCAGCTTGAAGAATAGTTGAATGCATATTAGGGCAAGAGAAGAAAAGAAATCTCTAAATAAAAGAGTCAACATGCAAAGTTATTTCTGCCTATATATGAAGGGAAATTGCTAAATCATATCTATTCAAAACATTACATCAAGTTCTCCTTCCTAGTCCCCATGAGAGAAATTATGCAAAGTATTGTTTTGAAAATGATTGTATCAAAATATAAAATTTCTGGAAACTTAACAGCAAGCCTAACATTATTCAGTGTATGGGAAACTTGGCTCCAATAGTTTCAACAGATAATTAGTAAAATGATCACTCAGGAAAATGTGTCATGAAAACTTGGTAAATAACTAAACATAAAGAGCAAATCTTTTTGCATGTTGAATTGGAAGATATTCCCTTCCCTACTGGGTTCAATTCACATAGTCCAATTTATAAGTAAAACAACACAAAATATGTATTTTATTCCTCTGTTCCTAAAATATTTGTATGGTATATACACTAAATGTCTATGTACCTTATTATTTTAAAAATGGCTTATGTAGAATATTCTATCAGATAAGACAATTAATTATTCCAGTAAACATTTCTTGGGCCTTTGTTATTTACTAAGCACTGTTCTGGAGTTTCGACAGTAGAAAAGATTTAAGAGAATTCAGACAGTAAGGTTAGCCAGGTTGCTGTTTAGTAAATATTTGTTCAGTGCCTGAAACAAAGACATCACCCTTGTCCTTTCAAAGGCTTATCTTATTTAGCAGATCTATCATTGGCATGGTTATTAACTCAACTTTCTGGAATAGTTTTTTGAAAAGGAGAATTAAAAAAAAAAAACAAGCTTGAGAATGCTTCATTACATTATTTTACTATGTAAAATAAAAGGAAATGAGAAGTAAATGCTAATATTTCACCTTTGAAACGGTACTTAAACAAACATTTCATCCTGAGCATTCCATTGTCATTATTCCCAGTCTAAATGCGAATATTGTTTTCCTATAGTCATTTACCTAATTACTTTGTACATAGAAAGTATGAGTGGGTATTCATAGTTCTTATATAAAGGTTGTTAAGGACTTTAAGCTAAAGAATATGTCAGAACTGCACAATTCTCCAGTTTTACTGCAATAAAGACAAGGAATTTTTGAAGTTGGAGAGAACCTTTGAGTTCAACCCCACAATATACATATAAAAAAGTCAATGACTTGCCTGCAAATTTGAATCCGTTTGTGTCGCAGGTGGTGTTAGGGGGGCCGCTGCTTTGGACGATTCCCTGCTTTATCCATTAAATCATTCATAACATACCCATTAGTCTACCCTAAAAAAATTTTCAATTCCCTTGACTATAAATTTATGAAACACGGAATAACCTGGCTTCAGTTGTATGGGTGAGTTCCATGGTATTATGCAAAACAAGATTAATCATAATGCAACTTTGTTAGACAGGTAGGAGAAAAACTATATCACAGTCTAAAGCATTTTATGTTGAATATTTTGTTTGCATTCACTACGTCTCTCAGCAGCAAACAGGGTGAATGTTGCACATCAAGGTGCTTATTTATTTATTTATTTATTTGGTGCTTATATTTTAAAGCTGAACTGAAGGCAGGCGATTTCTGAGTGACTGGATAAGTTTATAAATTTTTTGTTATGTGAAATTAAAATTAAAACCCAAGTCCTCTGATTTTGAGTTAGTGTCTAGTCTAGAGTTCTTGAAAGACTAGCTTCATATAAATGAACCCCCTATGGAAATAAGGGTCTAACTTTGAGTATCTGGGTGCACTGAACTTGAGCACATTTCTTTTCAAATAAACACCACACACAAAGTTAGAGGCAATGTAAGTATAAGTCTATTTTATCTGTAATTGTGCATACCAAAGTGTTTTAACAAAACCAGTGGAAAAGTTGACAGTAAACTCATTAGTTTTGAAAATCTTTTATTGGTAGAACAAAAGCAAACACAGACCGATTCAAATTCAGAAAGCCCAAATTCCATCCAGAGAAGAAGGTAATTAAAGAAAACTCAACTTCCCATAGTTGTCTCTTTGGTTGCAGCTAGAGATTCACCGACTGTATTAATAATTTGCTGCACATGGAAAGATTTTCTCCAAAGAATCATGACTAGTCACTGCCACTGCAGAAAACTTAGTTGCTTCCTTGCAAGGCCTTTTTTCTGCTGCACTGAACTCTAATTGTGTTTATTTATGAGACTATTTGTTATGCTCCTGGTATAACTGTAAACATCATTTACAGTCTTTCCTCCCTAAAAACTTAAAGCTTTATTCATAAGGGTGTGAGTAAGAGCTCACTGCAAATGTGGCTGTGTTTAACTAAAACAAAAAACAAAAAAAAAACTTGGTCTCAGTCATCCAGAAGGAGATGTGGTGGAGGAAACAAGTCATCATGAGTGAGAGCATTACTACCCAAGTAGGTGTGAATGATGTTTTCTGTGAGATCGGTAAAGTAGTTAAGACAATAGAGCAAATAAATGTTCATAGAATTACTATGTGTAATTGTTTCTTTTCATGGCTGGGAGGAAAGAAATCAATGGATTTCTTCCAAAAATAGTCCTCTAATTTAACAACAGCATTTTTTCTTAATGTCGCTATAATTGAATATTTATTTAGAGGCAAATTGAGATCTTGTGCAAATGAAGAACAAAGCATGCATTCTCAGTCATCATGGCACTCCTGTAATTTCATGTAATGTTGATGAACAGTACCATTAAGTGCAAATAAAGAGAGAAGACAGATTAATTTTAAAACAACCCATTCTACTACAGAGACTTGAGTTTTTTTCTTTTCCTTAATTTTTTTTTTCCTTAGTCTTAAGGCAAGTCATGATTAGTTACAAAGGAATTGCAGGGGTATAATCAGAGACCAAAATTGTCTTTTCTAGTTGTTTTGAAGTGCATAATATGCTAATAAGCTGTTCATTAAATGGGTATTTTCTATTTAATTTAAGAAAAAGCCCTTTGTATTAACAAAGCTTGTTTGACTATTTTCATAGCATGAGCTATAATCACATTTTTGGAATAATTTACAAAGATTATAACAGCTTATTATTTCATAGCTTACCTCAAAGTGGGCAAAATTAGATCTAAGTTTTTGTACAGGACTGCTCCAAGAACAAATACCGATGATTCATCTAATTCTAGAAAAAATGAAATTAAAAATATTAGTGAAACGACAAGAAAAATACTGTCTTCTAAAACTTTAATCTGCTTATTACAAGGGGATTCCAGTACTTGCTGTTGCAAAGCTGAATAGAAGAAATGCCTTCCTAACCATGCATGGGACAGATTAACCCACACACCATACATATTAATGGTAGCTCAAAAAGATGAGTTTTCAGGGCTTTTGTGTCATATGAAGTAACCTTCCTTCACCAGGCTGAGACAGAAGGCTACAGTAGTTGCAGCTAAGGAGTTTCAAATCTTAATGATATGGGGAAAGAAAAACAATTTTCTTTTGGAGCTCTAAGCTAGAAGGTCAAAATCTCCAAGGTAAAAAGGAAGACTGGTGTCGCTGTCAAAAGTAGCCATTAACTTTTAGAGGCTGCTGAAGATGTTCCCAAAACTGAATTTTTCTTAAATTTGCTTTTGTATACCAAAATAATATCTACAAACCAAAGCAAAAGTGAGGAAGAAGTAAAAAATGACTGTGGAAAATGCAATGCGTTTCCATACCTAAAATTAAAATATGCCACAGGCTTTACACTGAGATAAAACTGCCAATCCTGAAACTTAACCAGGCCAAACTCAGGTCTAGAATTTGCACTTGTATTTTTTTCCCATTTTAATAGATCCTTTCCTCCAGTAAATTCTGATTTAGAGACCAAATGTCAGTTTTCTATATTTACAAAATTAGTTTAGAATCATGATTGTAGACTGTTACTAAGTTGTTTGACGCGAGCAGATTTATATGTAGTGTACTACTATTAAACGGCCTTATTAGAAATGTTTTGTTCAAAGCTCAAATTATTTCACATATTTACCTTTTGATGACACAGGAGTAAAAATGCTTTTTGGGATAACTACCCTATCTTCTGAGTTTCTCGCCCAGTCAACCATTCCCTTTCGTCCTTTCATCGGGAAGTTGATGTCGGTTAGAACAGAGGCTGCAGGAAGCTTCTGAATGCTAGCCACTATTAGGAAAGAAGTAATAATGTTAACTAAGATCTTTCAGTGCAATCACAGTTGGCCACACTAAAACTTGCAATATCTTCAAAATAAAATCTTGAGCCAAAATTATATTTATCAGAGCCACAACACAGACTTGTTTCCTGTTCTTAGACAATATTCATGAAGGCTGCCAATTCTTTCACCTATCAGTCTAGATTTCTGTTGCTTTCCAGAAGAATCAGGCACTGATGGTCAATGGAGTGTATTCTGAGAGGACCAGCGTGTATTCCCACTGGTTGTTCATGGCTGACCTCCATTCCAATTGTCAGAAGTCCATACTGTATTTTTTGCTAAGGATTTCGATGAACACACTTGATTCATAGGCGGAAATTTGCATTTAAATCTGAACTTTGTCTTTTGAACAAATTTTCTGCATTTATGTCTGAATGTTATCTTTTTGGAACAAATTTTTCATGGATTAAATGATGTACCATGGAGGCATGGAAAGCAAAGCCATATTGCTCTTGGAGACAGAACTGTCATAATCCAAATAATAAAGCACCAGTAATGCCATAACCACAGAGCCGATACAATATGCAGAAAGATTTATCAAGTAGATCAATAACCCAAAACTTTTAAAACATCCCCCTGCAATTGAAAGTAATCAATGTATACTTTGAATGGAGAATCATGTCTTTACTTGCAATAAGTACTTTAATATACATTGAAAAAATTCATGAATGATATGTTTGGTAATGCCTGAATATATTTTTTATTACATGTAACAATTACACACACACACACATATATGTCATAAGACTATAATGATAAATACTTAAGTGCTTATTGATTATATACATTTCCAATTAAGAAATGTAATTTGTGTGACTTTTACATAGGTCCATACTTGTTCTACATTAAAGCTTTAGGTATCTCACGGAGGATTTAAATAGAATGATAATGAAGAAAACTAAAGAAGCTATTACAGAAGTAAGCTAAAGAAACCATTCAGCTCCTCATAAGTGGATTTCACTCTGAAGAAACTTATGATTTAAATCGAGAGAACGAAAATTAAGAATTTAACAATATTAGTTGTATAAATATATTGCATCACTGGCTTTGTTCCAAATTGAAATGGTTATGTATTATTGTACTTTACTAAAGCTCTTTCAGGCTATTATAGACATCCATTATCAGCAGAGGATGGAATTTCATTTGGCCTGTAATTTGACATAATAAGCTTAAAAAATGATCTTGTTACTAAATGTTGAAGGAAAAAGGGTGCTGAGTAGCACATAAATTCATTATGGATGTTAAATGCTGTTTTTGGATAACAGCTGTAATTATTTGTTTCTTTAATTTTCCAAACAATATAGTCTTTGTTGTCCATAAATAACCCAGTTCACGTGTCCTGAAAGGTCCAAATCCTCCACTGCAGAAGGTCAGCAAATTGGCCGCACATTCTTTCTTAAGGGTCCTATAAGCTTTATTCAACCTGCAAAACTAAGTTCATCTGATTCCAAATCCCTTGATTCTAACTTTGGTTTTCTTGATATTTAGAGGAAATTTATTTCACCTCTTTGCTCTAAAAACTGATGAAAAGAAATGAAGGTTTTTCTATCTCACAACTGGTTTCTGTTATAAAGGAAAATAAACCAGAAATAAACTGTTGGACTCTGAAGTCTAATAATTCATCTGTGTCCATACACCTTGGATAGAAAACAAAAATCAGATGAACAAAAAGGAAAAATAACAAATGAAGGAAGCACATTCTGTACCAACTCTATCACTTTATCTTGAATAAATTCTAGTCTAATGCCATACTCTTAAATACAAAATGATATAATTATACATGCTTGTATCTCACATGATGAAATGCATTCATTCTTCAATTAAAGGCAGATTATCTATTAAGTTATGATGATATAGATTAGATTGTACTTTTGAACATCATCTAGATTAAAGAAATATAAAAATTAATTAGGATCACTATTTAATTTGTGCAAAAAGTCCTTTGAATTGCAGTCTTTAGCATAAAAAGGACATAAAAACAAACACTTATTCATTGATTTTAGTAGAAATGTAGTTCTTAAAGTAAGATGATATTTTCAATAAATGCATTATCAAGAAGGATATGATTTCATAGACTGATGAGAGTCCAATGCTAGTTTAAAATATGAAGTATTTAAAATTGTACATCTTTACCTTAAAGCTATCTAGGATGATGCCTTGGATGACACTGTGGTTCTTCATGACCCTGACATGATTAACAAGAAAACCTATTTCCATATAGCAAAAATAATTTAAAGATGACTTTTATTTCCTCCTTCTTTCAATCCCTGTACCAGACACTTGGACCAATTCAATCCTCAATCCCTTCCCTCCTTCACCAGGTTTAACTGTCCAAAACCCTTAGGGAAAACTTAGATGCAGTCTTTAGGGAACTGGGAAGCTCAGATGTTAAGTGAATACCAAAGAGGTAAGATTAAAAATGAATGCTTTAAAGTGTGCCAAGTTTATACAAATATGTGTCCAGTGCTGACAAAGGAACACAAAGGCAAAGCGTAAGCGCACAATCCCCACCCTCTGCTTCTGCAGTAATTGCTGCATTAAAACCACTCATTGTGGGTGGTTAGATAATAGAGCATCTTTCCTCAAAAACTGAGAAAATGCCTTTCTTACAGAAGATTAAAGTGCTTAGAAGAAACCTCAAAGAACACAATGTCCCTGAACAAATAGGCACATCTTGAATGCTCCAAGAATTATCCTAAATTCACTGTATTGTGTTTTCATTACAACACTAGATTTGATTTCTTAAGCAATAAAAATAGGTGACTCATCACCGATAAACCTTGGAGCAAAACCAGCTGCACTTTCATTTTGCAATTTTAAAACTTTCATTTTGAATTTGGATAAGCAGCATAAAATTCCTTCTCGTCAGAAAGGATAAAGAATTCCCGCAGTTGGGTCTAAAAGCATATGGGCTGAGTTTTGTTTGTTTGTTTTTGTTTTGCTTTTGGTTCACCAACGCAGCAAAGGTGGAGCTTCTACCATTGTTCCTGAGGAAAACCATGAGGTTTTAGCACTTAGCCCTAACTGAGGTCCTGGAGAATGGCAGCTCTGTCATGTACAAAAGTTGGAGCTAATATGATGCATCAGTTGCTTCATGGACAAGAATGGAAGGCACGTAGAAGAAAAAGATGAGAGAGCCAAGGTGTGTGCATGAATGCTGGAGGAATGAGCACAATGGGCAAATGAAGGCCAATAGAGGAAAATCACAATTCACCAGAATGGCTCAAGTGTGGACTCTGGATCTGGGCTTGGGATTCAAATCTTGATATTTTAGGGTAACTATAATATCCTGTTTTTTTTTTTTTTAAGATTTTATTTATTTATCTGACAGAGAGAGACACAGTGAGAGAGGGAACACAAGCAGGGGGAGTGGGAGAGGGAGAAGCAGGCTTCCCGCGGAGCAGGGAGCCTGATGTGGGGCTCGATCCCGGGACCCTGGGATCATGACCTGAGCCGAAGGCAGACGCTTAATGACTGAGCCACCCAGGCATCCCTAACTTGTTTTTTTTGGGGGGGGGGCGGTGGGCAGTCCCAGTTTCTGGGACTTCTGCTGTTCGGCTAATTGAGGTTATGTATTTAAAACTTTTTATCAAATATATACACATAACCAAAGGCAGGCACTTAAAATAGAGCTTATCCTTTAGTACTTAAATGTGTCACCCAGGGAGCTGAGGGTTCCTTTTTATTCATTCTCTTTTCTTCCTTCCTCCTTCTTCTCCTTCCTTCCTTCTTCTCCTCCCCCTACCCCTTCTCCTCCTTCTTTTTCTTTTCTTCTCTCTCTCTCCCTCTCTCTCTGTCTCTCTCTGTGTCTCTGTCTCCATCTCTCTCTCTCCCTTTCCTTTTTCCAATAGAATCTGCCAGAGGGAAGAGGTTGGCTTCTCTGGTTATTTGGTCACACAAAGTCAGCCAGGCTAAAAATCTCCATTGAAAAGGAAAAGGATTGCATCCTCAGTGACAAATTCAGTATTACCATTGCAGCCAAGGCCACAGTTTGCAAAGAGAATTTAGGCAGTGACCTAAGTGCTTAGAGCAGCAACTCACAGTCTATAAATGAGTAAAGGAAACTCCCAAGCAAGGGCACCTTAGAATCATAAACAAAAGTAGAGGTGGATACAGAAATAGAAGTTTAAGAGATGCCTTAAGAGGGATATTGATGCTTCCAAAATATTTAAAGTTTGCATCATTTTTCATGTTGATTCAGAGGGAACAACCTACAAATTGGGTCTTAACTCATCAATATTAGAAAATTGGCTAGTTATCAAAATGGATTTGCTTGTGGAAAACATCACTCAATATTACTAGATGGTCACCCCCACAGTTTTGAAATCCTAGGAGAAAAATATGGCAGGGAAGGAACTCTGCAATGCATCAGTGTGTTAGAAAGCAACTGTTAGTTTTGCCTGTGTACCATTGCAAACACAGAGGGGCCGAGCAAAGCCTGCATGTAGTGTGATCCCTTGGCATTTAGCGCTTAAAAAGCCATGGTTTTTATATTTGTATAGTAATGCTGAGTGCCTTATAAAATACTGAGGGCGTTTGGGAGGGAAGGGAAGGACAGCTGACACTTACTGAACACTTGACATGACCTCAGCATTTTGTTAGCCATTCCTTAATTTATTCAACAAGTATGTATCAAATGTCTCCTCTGTGCTAGGCACTCTTCTTAGCACAGCACTTAGGCGCGTCCTTTACATGTGATACCTTATTTAATATTTAGAACAACCCTTATTTAATATTTAAAACAACCCTAGGAGGCATCATTATCCGTATCTTCATTGTTATTATCCCTACATTCATTTTACAAATGAGGAAGTAGACTCTGTTAAAGTGGTAACATTGTGACTCAAGTCTCAGTTTGCCTGCTCAGAAGTATATGATTTTGCACTGTGTGGTGCATTTTGATTTTACCCCAACAAATTAATAGCAAATTTACTTTGTCTTACTATAATAT